ATCCAACTTGCCTGTTATTTAATTGAGCTTTTTATATGTCTACGAAATTAACTGGACCTATATAAACAAAGTTGATCACAATTTTGACAAAAAAAAAACAGCAGAATAAAGAGAAGATTCGAGAAAATGAGAATCTCAGTATGCTTTCAATGCAGTATGAAACTTACGATTAATCTGATTGTGACATTTTCGTCATCATATAGCCAGACATACTGAATTAGTTACCCACGTATATTTACACAAATGAAGGATTCTTAGAAATACAAACGTAAAATTTCTCGAAAAACATCCTCTTTCTTTTTACTGCATTTTTAGACCTATCCATAGACTTGACTCTATGTGTCGCTAAATTACCAACATTGTATCGCAATAACTAGACAGAAATCACGAAAAACGAATTGTTTTGCAATTACGATTTTATTATGACCCTCAGCCGATGGTTGTGAACTCTGTTATTAGCAACGCGTGAGTCAGATTTCCATTTTTGGTGTTCAGCCAAATTATTTTATATAGTTAAATAGATTTCTAATTATCGATCATCTGAAACGTTTCATTGTATATTCGCCAATTTTAATTTCCGTCATATTTTAGTTATTCACACCACTCGTTGAAAAGATAACTTTCTCTATTTGAACTTTCTGTACAGTTATTCATGAAGATATGTATTCTCCGCCGGAATTTAATTTGTTACAACAGAATTCAGCACTACGTGTATGTATGCAGTTACTTTTTGGATAAATTACCGAATATATTAATTTATTTGCAACTATATCCTAATAAGAATGACGCATAATTATAGCGAATGCAGTTCTATTATGATTGCAAGGCGAACGTGCTAACAACTTTCACTACACAGTTAATGTTTAGATTAATAAAACTTAATCAACGCTCGTCGCGGCTTTCTTCGAAAGCTGTAGGCAAATATTATAAAAAAGTCTCTTAGTTTTAAATAAAAAAAAAAAACGTGACTAATTTATGTTCCAATTTTTTTTCGAACTAATCCAACACCAATATATTTTTAGGAGTGGTACAGAACCGATATACAAACATAAACATGCACAGTGGAAAATTAGTTTTTGATTTAACTCTTTATTATCGTAAACAGGTAATGATAAAATATTGAGTAATAATATAAACCTAGTTTGTGCGTACTGTATTTCATTATTGGCACCTCAAAATTTCAGATATTTATCAATTTTCTTTTTTAATTTATTAATAGGTACGCGACCGTCATCGATTACCATCAGACAGATTGTCAAGATCAACGTCCTTAGTAACTTTGCGTATGCGACTTTCGCAATCCGGAAATGGGAGGTTCCTGAGGTCATTTGAAGTAACTTTTTCCTTAGCGAGAATGCAATCCGCGGCTTTGTCTACGAGTTATTAACAGAAAACACTGGCCAATAAAAAGCGAGTTCGACTGGTGCGAGGCGGGCCAGCCAACGAGCACACGGAGCCCAGTTCCGCTGATTGGCTCGGCCGTCTCGCGCTAGCTGATTTCGCCTCGCATTGGTCGAGGGTGTTTATCGCTAATAATTCGTAAACAAAGCCGCGGATTGCATTTTGGCTAAGGAAAAAGTTGCTTCAGATGACCTCGGGAACATTTTTGGAACACCCTGTGCAGTAAATTCTCCCTAATTGACCCTCAGCTTGTACACAAAAATTGACAATTTGGGAGTAAAATGTACGATTATTCGAGCCTCGCGGCTCGTTTTTATAATTACCGATTGTCAATAAAGGCTCGAATAATCGTACCTCCTATTCGCAAATTATCCATTTTTGTTTCCAAGCTGAGAGTTAATTAAGAAGAATTTACTGTACATGGTGGTTTGAAGTTCTGGGTTAGATTTACTTGTATACTAAACGAATCATAAGTTACAACATTTGAGATGTATATTTGAGAAACGTATAAATATATAGTGAAATGAAAATATTGTTGAACATACATATGTTTACATCTTCTAAACTAAAACCAAGGATACGGGCATAGTTATTTTGGACATGAATCTTGGCAACATACTTTACGATCATCGAGATCGATAAAGTGAACCTTTTGGTAAATCATTATCATTCGTTTCTTCTCATGCATACATTTTATTTGGTAATCCGGCGTGTAAGGTTGCCAAATTTTTGACATTTGTCCGATTCACACGATTAGGAATTCGTGTGACTTTCTCAATAATCCGTCTAATTTAATACTAAGTTTTGAAAAGCTTGCGCACACATACATTAATTTACACCTAATGAAATATTTGACTTATATTAACCATAGACATAATCCAATTGTATTAATTTTTCTCTAGCTTATTAATATTTCTACTATAACACTAGTAAAATGATAACTGACAGGTATTTCATATGTGTACATAAATACATTTGGAAGTATTGTCATTACGTAAACCAGTAAATTAATTCTAGGTTGAAGAATATGGTTTAATTATAACATGGACGGCAAATAAAAATATCGATTTAATTATAGAGACAGATTTAGATAAACTTGTAAAATTTTTTATCGCATCTATGGAAGGTCAATGTTATATTAATAATGGCTTGTTGCTGAAACGTATACAGAGTAAGTACGGACTTCGATTATGATAATTAAAATTTTCGGATTAAAGTGGTTCTCTGTGTTTTCAGCTGTCCTGATATCAGGAAAGCCTTGTCTTTACGACTTCGATTTACTGAATGCACCGCCAGCTAAAAGTAAGAACAAATTTTACGTACAGAATAAGTTGTAAAAATAAGTATAATGTAGTTCGTATATTAGAATGCTGCTTACCTATAAGCGTTCAATTATTTTACTTGTATTTTATTTATTAAAACACAAAATTGTGTTATTCCACAAAAAAGTGATCTGTGTAAAATTTGAGCTGGTTTGGTCAATGAAAGACATACCTCCGTAAGTCAGACATGCTTACAACATAGCCCGTGTCGGCATTTAGAGATTACGATTTTGAACGTGTATTGTATAAAAAGCTTTAAAAATGTATCTTTTTATTTTTCTTTGTCATTCCTACGAGTTACAATTTTTGCAAAGATATTCTTAGACGTTGTCTATTAAACTAAACTGTCTGTACAATTCTTAAGTAGATTTTTGTGTAGTTGTGGATAACAAAATTATCCCATATTTTTGCCTGAAAAAAATATGTCTAATTTCATAATTTCTCGTCATCACAACAATTTATAATTATATTATTTATATATAATTATTATTATATTTTATATAATATATATATACATATATATATAAATTATATAAAATTAATTAAATAATAATATATATATTATATATAATCATATTATATATCATATTATATATATATATATAATATAATATTTTATGTAATAATAATTATATTATATAATTATATTATTATTATCGATTTATAATTATTAATATGCAAAATTTTTATGATCTATGCATACATCAGCATTCTGTGTCTCATTTTACACAATTCATGTTTAGCTTTTGAAAAGATTATATTTTCTCTCGT